ACCTCATCAAATGGTGGCAATAAAGTGAAAAAGCTGCAACTGCAATTTGGGTACGGCCATTATTTTGACACTTACCGTAAGAAGAATTTACCGGGAGGGGATATTTTAAAGGGTAAACTACATCATTCTTCACTTAACTTTACTAGCTTTCTTATTTTATTCATTGTATTTTTTTTAATTTACAACTAAACTTTCTAATAACTCATATTTTGGTCATTCTAAATTATTTCATTATTATTTTGATTTGTCATGAATTTTTTATTTAATATAAAAATAATTTAAAATATAAAATTAAAAGAGATGGTGGTTGTCCACTATTCAACTATGTTGGATACCACCATCAACGGTCTTAGATAGAGGTCGTTCGGTCTCAAATTTTACCAGCCACTTCGTCTTAATCCTCTGAGTGCAAATTTGGCCTTCATTTTGTCGGAATATGCTCTGAATCTAATCAAAAGTGAGAAAACAGAAACAACGATCGTCATCCACCTCCTTAGATAGTTGTCGTTCGATCCCATATTTCATGTGTCGCTTCACCTTGATACCCTGAGCCCGAATCTAACCTTCATTTTGTCAGAACATGCTCCGAAGTAGACAAATAGGAGATCGAAAGTGAGGAAACTAAAATGTTTCAATTGAGATTTACAGGTTTTGGGACATTTTCCGGTGAAATAACCACTAGATTCAGTCTTTCAGACTCAGCATGTCAAAGCGAGTCTCTCGATATAATTTGAAATAAAACGATTGTCGATTTCGAAGGCTGACGGTGGTCGATTGTGACGAGAAGAGGCAGTGATGATGCTAATGATGATAAAGATGTGAAAATATTATTTTATTATTTATTTTAAATTATTATTATATTTTATTAATAATAAAAATGTCACGTCATATAATAATAGTGAAAATTTAGTGAAAATGGTGTAATTTACCCTATTTTAAACGTGGTTGGATCTTTTTACTGTATTTTTACTCTGTATACGTAGTAGGTAGCTTAGGTGTGTGTACTTTAATACGTACTTTACTCGGAGTGGACGTTTTTAGTTGCAACGAGGACGTCGCGTTGATTTTGTAAGAGTTTCTCCTGTGGCGCGAGACAAATTGTTTTGGTGAAATTTTGCAGTTCTGGTAGTAAATGACAACCCCAAATCCCACTACGAAAGCTACTTCCAATCTTCCTTCATTTATTGTGCCATTTCCATATTAGTATTTTAGGTAAAAAAATGTATTCCCCTATATAAAATAAATAGATAAATCTAGTTAATTCTTTTCAATTTTTTTTTTAAAATTTCTCGATTTAGTATGATGGTATTATTGACTGTCAGTCAAGTAATTATCACTCATATTTTATCATAATTAAAAACGGAGTTAAAATCAAATATGTATTAGGAGGATAAGCTATCCAAGTAAAAAATAATAGAGATTTATTGTGTATTTAATCTAAAAATTAAAGGAACAATAATATAATTTTATTTGAATTTAAATTGATAAAAAAAATTAAAATATTATTAGACAAAAAAATTGGAAGGAATAAAAGTCTCTTCCACTATCTTTATACATTCGTCCTGATCAAAACTTTCATTATGTTCTTTTTTATCTCTTCTCTTTTTCATATTTTATTTAATAAGTCAATCTATTTTTAATGAGCATAACGATTCTTATTTTTTATTTTTAATATGATTTTTCTCATGGATTTGTAGTATATTTTTAAGTTTGTATTTAATATTACTTATGTTGTTAACGTTTATTTTATTATCTTACTAATTTATTTTTAACTAATATTATTTTCATTTATAAATACTTGTAATCATTTTAAATAAATCTCACCTAAATTATGATAATATTTATAAATTGTCATCATTATATTTATTTTTATATTAATATAGATAATAGTTATCATTCATCATTGGCATTGATAATTTTTTTTTATCTTTTATATTTTAACATTAGCCTAGTTCGTATAACAGGAAGATTGATGATATTAATAACGATTTATGAGGAAAAGGAAATTTAAACAATATAATTAAATATAAAAAACCTCCAAATAATAAAATGAAGAGGGAGAGCACCACAGGTGTAGAAATTTATCAGGAGAAGGAAAACATGTGGGGGGATTTGACTGTGAACCATCAGCGGTTCAGTTGGGCCGTGCTCTCCCAAACTTTCATGTCTATAACATCAAACATCCCCCGGGGTTATCAAACCCGTCCGTTTTAATCATTAGGCCAATGATTAACAATCATGACACGACCTCCCCAATATAGGCCTATTTAGTACAATATTGAGAAATAAAAAAAAAACGAATTTGTTTAATTAATTTTTATAAAACATTTTTATTTATTAAACTATCAAATGAAATAAAATTTAAAATAAATTAATTAAATAAAGTCACTATACATGCATCGTAGTCGTAGAATGATCCGATTAATATTTGTGTTAATACATATCTTCCGTCACATCAATTTTTTCATTTAAATTTATTATTATTATTAAAATTATTATTATTAGTATTATTATTATAATTATTATTATTATTTATTATTAATATTAATATATATATATATTATTATTTAATAAATATTACAAACCCAAAAATGAGGCCCGATTACAACCAGGCCAGATCAGAAATGGTCCAAAATAGATGACCAAAACCTTTTAGGGTTTGTAACATATCAGCTAGGGTTTTCTAACCCTAGCCCCAGCCGCCGCTGCTTCCAGAAGCTCCCAGCTGCCACGCGGCGCCGCCTCTACCATTGCCTCATCCCCCTGCTGCCAAGTGCTCCAATCAGCCACTGCCGACGGTCAGCCGCCCCACGTCGCTACCTTACTGCCACGACACCCATCGAAGCTCCCAGAGGAGTCATTCCAGCCGTCCACGCATCCCGTTCTTCGGTGAGTCACCACAGATTCGGTGACTCACTAGAAATCATCTCTAGGACCAGTCCGACGAGAGCCTCGGTGGTGGCTATAAAAGCCACCACACCTGCATAGAGAAGAGGAAGACAGCCACGACAACAGAAGGGAAAACACAGACAGAAACGAAAAGAGAGCACAACAAATATAAACGAGACACCACGAGAAGAAAAACTACCAACGATCTCAGTCAACGACGAACCAATATAAAAAAAAGGAAAATAGAAGAGAAGAGAAGAGAAGAGAAGAGAGAGCTTACTTTGTCATCGGAGGCACTCGAAACATCACCGGAAACCTTCAGATTTCGAAGGTAAAATCCTAGATCTAGGAATTTCTAAGGATTTTTAGGACAAATAGAGGCCGTATTCGACCTTAGGATGTAGAGATCTATGGTTCGGTGGCCGGTAGTGGTGGTCGATGGTAGAGTAAGGCTGCCGATCGCTGGTCGGCCAGCCTCCGGCGGGAAGAAGGAAGAGAGAGGCGAGAGAGTTTTTCTTCTATCTCAGATAGAGAGAGAAGAGGAAAGAAGCGAATGAAGATGTTGGCCCGTAGGGCCAGCTGTTTAGGGTTTATAACCCCTCCCCCATACGACGTCGTTTAGGGGGAGGCGTGTGCGTGTAATTTCTATTAGGGGTAAACCCTATTCGCAGTCATTATAGTTTGTGATCATTACAATTTAGTCACTGAAATTAATTTCTGATTATTTTAATTTAGTCTTTTAATTTTATTTTATTTTAATTTAGTCCTTATCAGCATATATATTTAAGGTAAATATCAAATTTAGTCCCTCATAGTTTAGTAATTTTTATTTTAATCCCGTATTATGAATTATGGTTAAATCACACTGTTAGCACTCAAGTTTTATAATATTTCAAATTAGAACTTTAGTTTTATAATCTTACATTTTAATCATTAATTTCATTAGTTTTTATTTTTTTTACTATGATTTTTAATATTTTACATTTTAATAATATATTTTTATTTCCTTTTATTTTAATCATTATTTATTTTATTATTATTATTTTTTATTGTTTTAATTATTATTTCATTATTATTATTATTTATAAAAATAAATATATATATATATATATATAATAAATAATATATTTATTTTTATTTAAAATCCTATATTTCATAAATTACTTTTAATAATTATGTTTTAATATATATTTATTTATTTTTCAATATTAAGAAATGGCAGTATTAAAATAACTGGATATCCATTTTCTGATATTTTTAAATAAATAAATATCCTATTGTTTTAAAATTATTAATTGTTTCTTTATTAATATCGAAGAAAAGAGTTGTCTTAAGGCACCTAGAAGTCCTTTTTTGATATTTCTAAATAAATAAATATTTTATTTATATTTTATATATAAATATATTTTTTATATAATTATAACTTTGAAATAATAGAATTATAAATTAAATATATTTGAATTTTTAATAGAGACAATAATAAAGTACCAATTTTGGGCGTTGTAGGGGTGCTAATCCTTCCCTAAACGTAACCGACCACGAATCCATTTTTATTATTAAAAAGAACGAATTTTTGGTTAAACGCAGATCAGTTTATCTTTTAACTGATGTTTTCTTAAAAACTCTTTTAAAGGATGATTTTTAGGTATTCGACCTACCTGACCCAAAAGGCCGATGGCGACTCCCAAATTATTTTTAAAAAACCATTTATTCACATAACTTTTCCCGCCAAAATAAAAATTTCGTGCCCGGACGAAAACCGGTTACGACAGTCTTCATATATATATTTTATAATATTTAACTATTGTAACCCTAATATACCCCTCTATACCATACGTGTCTAACCACCAGCATCCAATCCCATACTTTCATTACCTAAACCATGTCGCAGACGAACACTATCCCAGATGCAGAGTTGGTAAAAACCGAAAGACCTAAATTTCGTGTCTGTTTTCCCCGTCGAATTTTACACGCTTTGGCGGCTTCCTTTGTTTGTAACTGTTCCTTTTTCAAATCAATTTTACGTATTAAAAAAATGAAATAATTTTCTCATTGCGGGTTTATATATATTTTATATTAATAACGTTGATTCTTAAGTCACAACAGCAGCTGAGTTAGCTGTCCACTCGTTTTTTTATTCAATTTCTCTTCTCTTCTTCCGCGAGTTTTCCAGAGCTTCAACGAAGGGGGAGAGAGAAGGAAGACCTGTTCACATAAAATTCTGAAAAAAGTTAAGGTTTCAGTTTCCTTTTGATTGTATATTTTCCCTGTGATTTTCTCGGAGAAGTGGCCAAAATCACAGATTCTTGGAAGCATTTGTTTTACGCTAGTGAATTTGGAGATTTATTTTTTGGTTTACATTACGCTTGGAGAGATCTGGGAGTTTGCGGGGAAAGAATCGAAGATTTTGCGTTTCATTTCTTTTTCTTCTTCTTTACATTGCCTTTGGTAAGACGCCATTGCTGGTGAAGGTGAAGAGTTTCCGTTTCTTTTCTTTTTTTCATTTTAATTTTATTTGTAAATCGCGTGAACGTAGGAATTGGGATCCTATAATGCTGGGATCGGAGTCGTAGAAACGTAACGTTTTGTGAAAAAATACAGATCGCTGACTTTTCTTGAGATCTAAAACAAGCCTTCATAAATATTCATTATCTTTATTTTTAGTAAAAGAAAAGATGATGAGAATGAAGACTAAAGCGACAGGGCTGTCGCCGGTGACGAATGGAGGAGGCTCTGCTTTTAGCGGTGGCGTTGAACCGGTTGCTCAGGATTGGGAGCTTAGACCTGGAGGCATGCTGGTTCAAAAGGACTCCGGTCGAAACTCCATCCCGCCACCGACTATTCGAGTTAGAGTCAAGTACCGTTCCATCTATCATGAAATCAGCATTAGTTCTCAAGCTACATTCGGTGAATTACTATCAAACTCTTTTATCATTTGGTTAATTAAAATTTAAGTTATTGAGTTTGGGTTAATTTTGAGTGTGTGTCAGGGGAGTTGAAGAAGATGTTGACAGGGCCAACTGGACTACACCATCAAGACCAGAAGCTGTTGTATAAAGACAAAGAGAGGGATTCCAACGCGTTTCTCGACATGGCTGGTGTGAAGGACAAATCGAAACTCGTTTTAACCGAAGACCCAATTAGTCAAGAGAAAAGGATATTGGAGACGAGAAAGAATGCTAAGATGGAGAAAGCTTCTAAATCTATCTCTGAAATCAGCTTGGAAATTGATAGTCTTGCTTCTCAGGTACACATTATTCAATTCTTCTACTCATGAGATTCATGATTTGTGCTTTGAATTTATGTAATTACGGGATATCGTGTTAGGTGTCAACCCTTGAAACGATCATTTCTAAAGGTGGGAAAGTAGCAGAGAAAGATGTGATTAGTTTGATTGAGCAGTTGATGAATCAATTGCTTAAATTAGATGGGATTATGGCTGATGGAGATGTCAAATTACAAAGGAAAATGCAGGTACCTGAAATGTATATTTGCTTTGGTTTTTGTTTTTGATAGTATAAAGAACCATGTATTCATTTGCCATTGTTGTAGCAGGTGAGAAGAGTTCAAAAATATGTCGAAACATTGGATACGTTGAAGATCAAAAATGCTATGCCTAACACCAATGGAGGACAAACGGAAACTCAAAATCAAAATAAGCATTCAAATGCTCGGAAACTAGCTCCGGTACAAGAGCAGCAATCTAGGCGTTTTAACGGGCAAAAACTGGCACCAATTCAAGAGCAGCAATCAAGCAATTCAGTTTCCCATTTGCCTGTACACCAACAATACCAGCAACAGCAGCAGCAATCAGCATCGGGGTCCGTCGTAGTCACCACGAAATGGGAGACATTCGATTCATCGCCGGTATCCACATCTACATCAACCGCCAATAATTCAGCCCCACCGAAGTTCCCTTGGGACTTCGACTAAGCAGTATGCTACGTCTCTGTTCTTTTCTTCGTTTTTCCTGTGTGAATGTGCTTTGGGTGTTCTTCTTCTTCCTGTACTTAGATTTTCTCGAGCAACCCTCTATATTTTTTTCTCTTTAATCTGTCATTAAGTTCATAAAAATAAAACGGGGGCTTCCATCATTTTAGTTAAGAACCTATTATTTGTAACCTATTGTCGTTGAATTCATTTCCCAGTTTGTGTACTGCCCTCTTTTGATGGTGACAAACATATGTATATTTGTAGACTTTGTTAATTGAAAAGATACTACCCTCTAGGGTTTTTAAACCCTTGTTTGCCTAATGAATAGTCTGCATATCTAGCCAAATGAGAACCTTTGATATTTATTCATTACAAAGAAAACCATTTTGGGTTATATGGACCTGAAATTAGAACTATCGTTTTTTTTTTGTCTAAAAAGCTCGAACCGATTCAACAAGATATTTATTTATAGTGTATACCATTGCTTGATGTGGAGTCTTGATTAATATAATATCAAATCTTTCTAATGATGGGTAGTTGAGTACGATAAAAAGTGCACAATTAGGAAATGATGATTTGTGGGTTAATTTAACCGTTTAATTTGGAAGTGTGTGTTCTAATTTCAGAAAACCTTCTTTATTTGGTTCAAGAAGCAAGTGTTTAGTATTTGAGGCTATGATATTACCTATTACCAACCACAATGCATAGGGCAGATCAAGATGGAGTAAAGAATCACAACACCGAGCTTAATGAAACATGATTGGGTTATAATTGAGTACTCTGCTTTTGTATTTATTGGTTAAGAAGAGTAGATTTTGATTCATCGTTGGAACTTGGAATGTTTTAATCAAACGAAAGTTTTTTTTTTGGATAAATAATCAAACGAAAGTTGATTGCACTGTCGTGTAGATAATTTGAATCAAGTCATGTTAAAAATATTTATTTTGAATAGTCTGGAATGATTGTAAGGTTGTGTTAAAGAGAATGATATTTTAAAGGTCTTGAGTTCGAGCATTTATATTTATAAGATGTATTTGTATTTTTATTTGGTTAAAAGATTTTTAAACAGATATTATATTGTGATTATCTCAAATTATTAAGAAAAAGAATGATTAGTTTAGCATTTATATTTAATGAATTTAGCGATAATTGGTTTAACAATGATCAAAATTTAAAATATAAAAAAGTTAAATATAATTATATTAGAGTATTGATTTCGCATTTTATATTAGTTCAAGGACTAATAAAAATGGACAAAAATAAAGGTTGGTCAAAAAGTCCAAGCTAATTCAATATAACAAAAAATGGGCTTAAAGTATGTAGGTGTTTTATACGTATAAGATAGTTGTCGGCAATAGCTTATGTTCCATAAACGTGAAAAATAAGTTCAAGATTTTAAAAGTTATATTTTATATATCATTAAAATTTATGATTCGAATTATATTTGATCTGATTTAAAAATAATATGATGCAGTCCACTTGGTCAAAGAAAACAATATGAAAGAAAGAATAAAAATATGTGATGAATCTGAAAACTGTCAAACTAATACAATTATATACGTAACTAAAATTTTAAAATTTAAAGTATTTAAGAATATTCATTTTATAATTTATTTTCAATTATAATGAATTTTTTCTTTTCTACCTAATTTTTTTTTTGTTTATGATTTTGTACACAAGTGTATGCGTTTTTGTTTATTTTCTTATTGCTGTGATGTTTAATCACCGTTATATAACAAATATATTTGAGAATATTTATATTTTTATATTCCTATCAAATTCAATATTCTATCATTATCATACAAAGTAGACAAAATTAAAACCTAGTAAGACTTGCTGCCTGGCAACTCATCTTCTGCTGCATAGACGTAGACTCATATCTATCCTCGTAGATAGGAACCAACATAAGATGTCAGGTTAAGTGGATAACTTATAAAATTTTAAGGATAAAAATACATTATCAATTAAAATATAAAAATATCTAAAATATATATTACTTTAAAATTTTAAGAGACAGACTGTTTTTACCCATCCCACTCCAATCCATCACTGCCCAAGAAAGGGATGAAGAGGGAACAGGTTCCCTTGAGTTGTGGATAGAAATGGAACCCTAAGGCCAAAAAAGCAAATGGTGATGGAGAAATTTGGAATAAAGAGTGCAGCAACATAGCATTTAAAACCATGGACATGAACCATCCAATAATTGATGGAGAAAGGTAAATGTATGAGAGTCGAGTCAATGTATATATATATATATATATATATATATATATATATATTCACCCTTTTCAACCATCTGGGACGCATACAATAAATCAATAATGCATGGGTTTGAGCTCTCTCTCTCTCTCAAATTGATAAACACCTAGAAGATATTTAAATCAAAATTGATGGAGAAAGTAATTAAATTAGAAAATTTGGGGGTGTTAAGTAGGGTTGTAAATGAGACGAGACAGATGCGAGCTACTCGAGATCGACTCGGTCAAAGCTCAAACAATACTCGAATCAAATGAGTTCGACTCGAATTCTTAACGAGCTAAAATGAGCTACTTAATACTCGACTCGAAAAGCTCGCGAGCTACTCGGAAAAAATATTACATTATAATTTTAGATTTTTAAAAAATACATTATTGATAATTATAAATTTTTAAAAATATATTTTTAAATGTAATATAAGATTTTTTAAGATTCAAATTCGAGTTTGAGTTCGAGCTTGAATCGAACTCAAAATTGAGCTTCAATCGAGCTCCTGATTTTTTTTGAGTTCGAGCCTTTTCGAGTTCGAGTTCGAGTTGAGTTTCAATATTATATTTCGAGTTCGAGCTGAGCTTGATAATTTTTAGCTCTCGAGTTTTCGAGTCGAGTCGAGCCTAATTTTAAACTTTTCGAGTTCAAGTTGAGCTCAACAATACTCGAACTCGACTCAGCTCGTTTATAGCCCTAGTGTTAAGTTTAATATCACTTATTTGAAAAGTTATAGAGACTTAAAGAGTAATTGAGCCATAAAAGGTAAGACTATAACTTAAATTTATTTATTTCAAAATTAATAGGATTTAAAGGTATTTCAATGGTTAAAGGGATATTGTTATCTTAGAACTCTAAAGTTCAAACGCATCTTCTGTGAGGTGTTTGAACGTTTATTGTCAAATAATTAATAGTCTTTCGAACAAATATTATCTTGTAACCATTCTAGATTAATACAATAAAATTAATAGGAATTAAAGAGAAATTGAACTAGAAAATTTGGGGGTCTCCCATCATTAGGATTGAGCAACAAAAAATGATTAACTGAAAATCATTTTATTTAGCAGGTTTATGATTCAGAAGTTTACAAATTACGGTTATTCGAATATAATATTTTTTAATTTAAGATTATTTTATAATATAAAAATAAATATTTATGTTTAAAAATAGTAAAAATAACTTAAAATTACTATATAAAAATTATTAATCATTTTTATTTATTTAAAAAATTAAACTTTTAAGAGATATTTATAAAAGAACTTTTAAAAAATATCAAAATAATATTAAAAATCATAAAATGAAATTATTTTATTATAAACAAATACACAACTCAAAACCTAAAATAAATATTAAGAAATTATAATCAAAATTAGATGATGGTAAAAAAATTAAAAATAAAATCGAATCGTATTTATTCCTATCCATCATAAACTTAGTTTTGTTTATGATTTCCCTATTAAATATTGTCGCAACCGTCTTTCGGGTGGGCCCAGAATTGGGTTTCGACTTGAAAAAAATGTTAGAGTCACTACCGATCATTTAAAAACAATATTTAGGTTGATCGGACACCATCTTACCTGATCTGTGTTTTATCAGAAATATGTCAGATTCATGAGTCGGTTACAGTCAAGAAAGGATTAGCACCCTTGAACTGCCCTTTCGATAATATTTAATTTCTCGGTTGTCTTAATTACGAAAATTGAAATTAAAATTAAAATTTAAATACTCGATTCAAATCACTTACCTTTGATTAGTTAAAATTGTCCCTAAGAAGTCAAAATAAATATTAAATGGTAAAATAAAAAAGGTTAAAATAAATGAAAAAAAGGTTAAATACAACAATATTAAAAGTGAAAAGCAATAAAATAAAATAAAGAAAATATTAAAACAAAAAAATAAACTAAAAAATGTTAAATTTTAAAAGAGAAAAAAGAAGAAAAAATATTAAAAGGAAGAAAAATGTTTTTTTTAAATGCTAAAAAACAAATAAAAAAGGACCGAATTGAATTAATTATATCTTTATGGCGTGAATTACTATTAGACAGTGATCTGCCAAAGAAAACAAAATGTTAGGGGATTAAATCGTAAAATATAACAAATATAACGAAGGATGAAATTGAAATAATTGAAAATTCGGAGGTAAAATTGAAATAGGTGACTAAAATGAATTACACATCAAAACTTGAGGAACTGCGAAAATAATTTAACTATCTCCTATTTGCACAAAGGTCCCTTGGCTATAAATAGCCAAAAAAAACCAAAAAAAATCATTTTTCACCAAACCAGAAAAAAAAAATCTCAAAATCCTCTAAAATGCTCTCCACTTCCTCGACAGCCGGCTGAGTCGCAGGTCATACTTCAGCAATGCCTCCGCCACTCCGATCGCCGCCTCTGGTGGCTGAAAAAAAACAAGCTTCCCCTAAAACGTTCCCCACAACACCATGAAGTGAAATCCGAACACAAAACCTCCTAAAAACGCCTCCTCCGACGTAGAATATCTAAATAAAAAAGTTTCGATTTTTACCCCTTTTTCGTCGGGGTTTCTTCGTTTTTCTCGTCGACCGGTAATGCTTCTACGCTCCGATGACCCTCCTCGAGACAAATCTCTATGCTTTTGTTTTGATTTTTGGCTTGTGTGTTTTTACTGTATATGGCTCGGGTTTTTTTTGTGCTAGTTGTCGTTTGTGTTTTTGGTGTATAGTTGCTCGATTGATGTTTTGCTGCCCGTTTTTGTGTTGCTCCCCCGGTTGTTGGTTATGTTCTTGGGGTATTTATACTCCACCATAACATGGTGGTTGCCAATCATTTCGGGATGGTGCAGCTCCGGTGATTGTGTTCGGTTAGTTATTTCCCACGTTCGCCGAGAATCATGGGGACTATCGGTTGTTATTTGCTTCGATTTGGCAGTTGTTTGTTTCCCCAAAATTTAACCATTGATTTGGCGCGTTCTGGTTTGTTACATTGCCCGAAAACTGTTTGGAGGTCATTCCTGAGCGTTTGGCCGATCCTGACCGTTGGATTGGGTCAGTTCCGATGGTCCAAATCTGGCTGCGGCGTGATGATATCTTAGGGTTTAG